TCACAAAGGATAAAATTCTTCAGCAAGATGGCTGCCTCCAGCACTAGACTCAGGAATGCCAACTGTAATTAAAAATGTTGAAAAAAACAATATATTTAATGATTTATTCAGGGTGACAAGTGATTTCTTAACTTGGGAACCCTTGGGAGCAAAACAGGTCTATGATTTTCCTTTCCCTGTGCTTACACCATCCATTATCCCTACACTTTTCCAAGTGTAATATTAAAGACACATTTGGTAATCTTTTGTTGAAGTCATAATAAAGTGTCAAACTAATTTACTCCTTGGGAATATTTTTCTAGTTTCTTGTATTAATTTCCCTTAAAGCTAATTTAGACGCTTGTAGTCTGTATATTATGCATCTGTCTATATCAATAATCGTGCAAGTGTTTGAACAAATTAAGACATTTTACAGCATTTAAACATCCCAGAGATGTTGCATTTTCAATGCAAGTGGAAAGACTTTACTTTAATTTATGAATGTTTTCTCATTAATCTATTAATTGTTTTGGCAGCTAATGCCTAAAAGCAACAGCTACCTGGCAAGGACAGGATATCTGTCAGACTATGCAGGGTGCCCACATTCAGTAGATAGATGAATAGGAGCACTGAAATACATTTAAGCCCAGATAAGGTGGCTCATCACTGGACTGGCTTGCCAAGCTAGTTTCATTATATCTTATAGCGTTCATTACAGCTTAGTGAATATTGTCAAACCCTCCCATCAAAAACAAGCTTACTTTTCCAGACAGTGACACTCCACAATCCCCTGAGATGTCATTAGCAATACTAAAACTTGTTCACAGGTTCTTCACTGAGCTTAAAGAGAGACACTAATAATTAGAAATAGTTTAAATTTTCCAAGTTTTGATCTTTTGTGTGTGGGGGGGAAAGGGCTGATTTTTAAAGGAATGGTATTTGAAAAAACAAAACAGAACCACCCTTTTTATTTTTGACCAACCTTTCCCCCCTAAAAAACAACAACCCACAACATTTTTCACTTTTTTTTAAAGCCAGCTCTGTTTATAAGAACAAAAAGCAAGATTTTCAAAAGTTACTTTAGGCATTTAGGAGTTTACTTCCCATTGACTTCCAATGGGACTTAGGCTCTTAAGTGCCTACAATCCAAAGGAATTTGGCTCAGAAGTGCCTAAAACACTTTTGAAAATGAGATTTAGACTTTTAAATCAGTTAGGTGTTGCAATGCTGAGTGCAGCAATGCCTAAATATCTTTAGAAGTCTGGGCCTGAGCCATTTTTGCAGTAGATCAATACGTAGTAGTTATTATTGGGTCACATGTAGTGGACATGTCTTCCTGATTATAGTTTGTATAAGGCACATAGGGAACCAACTGTAAGTTGCACTAGGTGGTCTATGATTTTTTTGCAAGTCTTTTAAACATGATATCAAGTCTAGCTATAATCTCCAATTGCCTTTCAGAAGAAAATCTACAAATAAAAACTACAGACAGCCTTTTAAAACTTATCTTTGTATTTTCAAAGCAGTAAACAGTGATTCAGGCACGCAACTACCATTAGAGACAATGGACTGAATTTCTTTCTCAGCACAATTAGAAGAAAGCTAGGTATAATAGAATTAAGGAGGCTGAATCCGAACCTAGATTGGCCCCTAAATAAGTGATTTTTTTTATGAAGCAACAGAGGATCCTGTGGCACCTTTATGACTAACAGAAGTATTGGGAGCATAGTCTTTCATGGGTAAGACTTGCATCTGAAGAAGTGAGGTTCTTACCCACGAAAGCTTATGCTCCCAATACTTCTGTTAGTCTTAAAGGTGCCACAGGACCCTCTGTTGCTTTTTACAGATTCAGACTAACATGACTACCCCTCTGATACTTGATTTTTTTTATATTACTTTAATTATGAAAACCTTTAGGGAACAGTTAGGATTTTATTATGAGTATTTAGAATACCTTATTTTACTGTTTATTAATATACAGAGGGTTAAGAGCAAAATTGTAAATCCTATGAAGGAGTAACTCTGCACTCCTACCCCCTTCCTTCCTATTGTGCTGTCTAGATCTGGGGAAAATTCAGAAAATAATATGTCTAGTTTTCTTGCTACTGAGGCCAGGATAAGCTGCCAAAACCTCAAAATCTTGGCTTGTATTAGTATTATGCTAATACTAGGAGCGAGATAGTTATTTTTGTCGGGAAGCTTACATTTTTTGGTACAGAGGAAGTATGTTTTCTGGAAGGCAAGGAATTATTCCGCTGTTATTTTTTCTGGTCAGACTACAGGTATTTCATTTTGAAGATAAATAGGAGCATAGTTCTCTCTCACACACACACGACAGCATTTGTCTGCACAATAACATAAGTTTTCTCCCAATGTACAAATGCCCTAGAACAGTCGACTCCTGTTCTCATGTTTACACCATCAATATGTTTAATTGGACTTCACTTAACAACTGTATTAATGGATTTAAGTTACTTAACATATGCATGTCATTTGAGAGTTATTTCATTGTATGCTAAATGAAGCTTAGTTGTAAATCTCAGCTCTTTAATCCTGGAGCAACTCTTCCAGCTCCACAGGGGCATTATTATGCGCATGCATCAACCTGAGAGATCTGATCACAGAATTTGTCTCCCTTCCCCCTAAAAGGATTACAGCCCTTATCCTGCACAGTGGAAGTCCATGGGAGATGTATAAGAATCAGGCAAGGAGTGTACAATAAAACCTACTATATAGGCAAGTCCAGTATTGCCACATCTCTGGTACAGATTTGCAATAGTAAGCTGGGCTTTTAAATAGATGAACAGGCATAACAACAGCACCAGCAGGGAACGGACTGGTTGATATTTTTCATCTCTAATTTCTATGAACAAATACAAAATGAGGTATTAATCTCATTACAAAGTTCTCTGTTAAGTAATGATCCTTTTACTAGATCATTACAGAAAATATTCAGATACATGGCAATATTGCCCACCAAAATGATGCAATCAGCTCTTTTCATTTGCCTGTTATGTTGAACAACACACTGTGTGGAGCTATTTGTATTTAACTGTTCATTCAAGAAGGCTTCTCGACCACATTAAGTGCTTTGAGTGTCATTACAAAAATCACCCTCATTATACACCATGTAATAACCTCAGACCATATGAAGATCAAACCTAGTATTTTACAAAAAGAAATGAAACAAAAATATGGGAAAGCAGAAAAGCTTACTGTGTTTGATAGATATTTCTTCAGAAAAAAATGGATCAAATCATGTTCCTTAAAAAAATAAAAACTAGACAGAAATCATTGAGTTGCATCCTGTGAGAGGAAACTGGGTCAAAATTGATCGGGATAGTCAAGATTATTATTACATGCAGAGAATGTACAATGAAATGTGATTAGATTGAGTGTACCCATCAGTCCCTTTTGCAAGATAGAGCACAGAAAAGCACAGCCTTGATGAGAGGAATCAATAGCATTGAAAGCAAAATTGGAGGGCTGTCAAATCAACTTAATTCCTATTTTCTGAATGAGTGGAGCAGGATCACCTCATGCACATGCTAATAACCAAATTAGTTTGCTTTAGACTCCTATACGGAGTCAGTCCACTATGAAGCTTATACTATTGCATTTTAAAAACCATATATTTAAATCTGTATTTGTAAGTAAAAATATTATATTTTCTCTGAAACCTCTAGATATTTGGTTATGTATACTACTACTTCATATCATTGTCTCGGCTTGCTGACTAGCAATCCTTGTTTTCTTAATGCTCACAAGATACGTTAATCACAGGGGCACAATTATATACAGCAAAGCCAAGAATATGTCTGAGACTCAGCTAGAAAACTATCCTCTAGAACTTAATAATAAAAATTCCCTTTGGGCCGATACTGCTCATGAAAGCTCTCCGTGAGAATGGGGTGATACTGACAAATTTGCAAACATTTCAGCAATTCTTAAAATAGTTCCATTTTGACTGTACTTGCACCTCTTTGATTAGCTGTGAGAATTTTCTGGAAAGCAATGCTTCATTTGTGTAACTGAATGAAGTTGGAAACTGATTTTCATTTCTGTCACCCACATTTGCTTAGGGAAGGAGAAAATAGAAGGAACCTTGGGTTCACACTTCAGGAATTGTTCAGAAAACAGCCACGATGTTATCAGTTCTCTTCCCTTTATGGTTTGGTCAGAAAATTTTGTATTATCAGAATAAGATGTTTGATAAATTGCTGGGTCTCAATACCTAGTACTTGTGCTGACCACAAAAGTGAGGCTGGATGTCGTGGTGATGGAGGTGTCCCCTGCCATACTGACTAGATCTGTGCAGAAATCACATTTTGTGGTAAGTTCTGCAATTTTGAAATTTTTAATTGTAAATTGAAATGAACACAAAGATTTTTGAAATTTTCCATGAACTGAAACAAGAAAATAATGATTCTAGTCAAAACTTCGTTTTGATTTTGACTTTAAATTTAGGAGAATATAGACTCCAACAAAATGTCACTTAGAAATGAAGCATTCTGTTTGGAAAATATTTAAATGTTCCATTTTGATGTATTGAAATGCTTTATTTCCCAAAACAAAACTTTCAAAATCAATTTCCCATGGGACATTTTGGTTCTGTGTTTTCAAACAGAAAAATGGTCTGTTTGAAAGTTTTTGCTCAGCTCTAATGCTGATAGAATTGATAACTGCAGTCAGAAAAGTTACAGGCAAAGAGAGGATGGCAACCATGACCCACCAAAATTATCCAGTCAAAGGAAGATCCAACATTTTGCATATGGACAGCTTCTTTCATTTTTAAGATGGTTCTGGTCTGTTTTGATACTGTAATCTCATCAGAAGCCATGAAATCCCATAGTCAGCAGTTTTTAGTTCCAACAAACTCACTTTACAAAGTTTATGTGAGGCTTCTTTCAATAAGAATTGTGTGTAACATGTTTCTAGGTTAAAGCTACTTCCTTCTCCACAATTTAAGATTTCAACACAAAGTAGGTTTCAGCAAAACAGTCCCACATACTTGAAAAGGGTCTTCTCTAGGAGGAAGATTCACTTGCTCTCATAGTACAAAGGCTCCACTTGCACAGTAACCTGCTCCCTCTCAACCCCACCACAGTGTTGTACTAGCCCTCTTGAATCCGGCTGTACGTTCCAGACTTTAATCTTTTGAGTTTGCCTAGTTAAGTCTCTGAACTTTGCCTCTCAGAAAATAGATGATTCATTTCCTTGTCTCCACGGTCAGCAGGATGCACAGTCAAATACTGATTACATTATCTTCTGCTGTGTTAGAGGCTGCAGGAGAAAAGCTGAGGTGAGAGGCAAAATTCATATTCTAGAGAGCAATCTCACTTTTCCAAGAGGAAGAAGTGAAAGACTTAGCGGAGTCTTTCAAAGCCACCTAGGAGATTTGTACATCAAATTGTCATTCATTTTAAATGGGAATGCGGTATTCAAATGTCCTACGTGATGAGCCTTCCAAAGCCCCCTTTTTTAAGGAATCTCAGTCCTGCAGAATTGCCTTGTACTTTGTAGGCAAAACTGATAGCTAGAAGTTTCTTAGGAAAGTTTTTAAACCTTTTGTTCTGATCTTTTCCAAAGTGCATCACAAAGAGTTTTTTTTTCAAGTCACAATTAGAGCCGGTTAAAAAGCATATGCTTATACAACATCCAGAGCCTGCTCAAGGACTTCCATGGACTTCAATGGATTTTGGGTAAGGCTTTTATTATATGATACTGGCTCTTACATAATGCTTTTTCAGATATACGTGAAAGGAGATAACGCACCTTTTAAAAGGAGTTATCCCCATTTTACAGATGGGGACACTAAGATTTGAGTTATGCAATTTACCCATTGTCAACCAGCAAACTGATGGCAGAGCTGGGAGTAGAATTCAGTTGTCTTGCTTCTGAGTCCAGTACTTATCCATGAAACCTCACCATCTCCCTAGTGACTTCTATAGTGCAATGTGCCTTATTTTTTGGCTTCTTAAAGCGTGCATGAACCAGTTATTTATAAACCTATTAAATAAATCAAAAATATTTATATTGGATAATAAGTGGTAATCAATGAATTGTATAAGTATCCAGTGTTGGTATTTACATTTCAACACTAGTCACCCAAGAACAGTAGATGGAACTAATATGGGCCAACTCAAATATACACATATTCAAACAAGTCATGCAGACAATTTTTAAAAGCTTTGAAAATTCTCGATGGGTCTAATACAGTCATAACATCTCTCTCTGTATGCATGCATATATATATATATATATCACACACACACAGAATTTTGCAAGAATGTTTTTGCCATTTCATTTCCCATTATTTAGCTAACCCCATTTCAGTGACACGATTTTTGCATCAATTCATTACTCATCCATTTTTGCACAGAAATGAGTCATTTAAAAAAAATATCTTAGCAAAGCTATCTATAAAATTTGGGTGCATTTTAGAGTTCTTAACCAGAAGAGTAAATTTCATTTTTTTAAAATTATTTTGCATATTGTTGTAAATATTTTGAACAGTTTTAATTACAAACGCATCTGGTCTCTGACCAAGCTTTGCTCCATCATTAAGTTTTATTATAAGTAACATTTTATAGTGGCATTATAGTGGTAAAGTTAAAAGGACTTTTTGAGTTGTCACTGCAAGAGATTGCTAATAGCAATACATGATGATACACTAATATACTTCAGTGGCACATTTCAGTATATGTGCTATACATGCTTATAGACTGCAAACCAAGCCATCAAAATCTACAAAATGCACCATGTTTTTCATATGTATTCTAAAACATACTTCAGTACCATGGCCATGAAGGAACTTAATCGTTCAAGTTGCAGTGGGGGAGGTCCAGGTTGGATATTAGGAAACACTATTTCAGTAGGAGGGTGGTGAAGCACTGGAATGCTTTACCTAGGGAGGTGGTGGAGTCCCCTTCCTTGGAGATTGTTAAGGCCCGGCTTGACAAAGCCCTGGCTGGGATGATTTAGTTGGGAATTGTCCTGCTTTGAGCTAGATGACCTCTTGAGGTCCCTTCCAACCCTGATATTCTATGATTCTATGATCCTATGGGCCTACTGATAATGTATCGTATGTCAAAGCACAGTATTTTTCATCCATTCAGGTCTCTTTGTTTTAGTACATACTACACTGATTCAGAGTTAACCTGACTTTGGTACATCATAAAGCAGCCTTGAAGTATGAGAGCATTGACAGAAATGAAGAGAACTGAAATCAAAGCAAACAGAGGAAATTAAAGATATGGCCTTTGCTTTTCTAATTTTTTTCCTTCTTCAGCAAAAGTTAAAAAAAAATAGTTTAAAAGATTGTGACCAACCACACCAATAAAATATAATAAAAAACACATAACTCCATATTGTGGTTTTTACTTTGTTGTTTTGTTTATTGAAGAACCTAGAGAAATCTCATCCACCAGGGGAATTTGACTGCCTAGGCACAAAAAGGCAAGATAACTATTTCCTGCTGCTTAAAACCTCTTATAACTCCAGCTGAAATGGACAGATATGTCCTAATATCCATGGATTTTAATGGCAGGTTAACTAAGGAACGGCATAGCAGGTGCACTGCAAGGTCACTTGACCGAGATTTAAAGGTTTGTTTCCTTCCCTTTGTCTATTTTAACACATGCAGAGCTTACAGGCATTCTGATATTTCCCTACTTTCTTTGATCCATAAGGGAGGTAGGAGATGATGACATTCAAATGCAGCAGTCCCTAAACTAAGCATCCCTCTGTGGATTATCTTGGATATAATGCTATTTGTCCTTGCTTCCCAGTATCCTGACTCTCCATCAATTCTTCTGCTAATACCTTATTTATCATGGAACAATGTAGAGCCAAGGGAAGAGGCGAATGTATCTATAAATAAAATGAATGGAAGCCAGGTGGCAGCATACAATGCAGCAGAAGGAGGAAATACTCTCATTGTGCCGTGATTTAGAAGCAAAGTGGACGCAATACAGGAACTGGGCTTAGACAAAAGCAGAGATGCAATCCCTCAATATACTGCTCCATGTTACTATGTAACACCCTACCTAGCATTCTATGTGTGCCTGTTTCCTCATGCCCCATCCTCAGCAGCACCCGTGACAGTCTGGATGCTCTTGCCTCTCCTATCTTATTCATCTCCTTACCCTTCATACTGGCAGTGCCGGTGCTAACCATAAGCAGACTAAGGGCCCTGAACAGCTCAAGGGCCCTCCCATTTGCTTTTTTATCATGTATGGGGGGCGGGGGCAAAATATTCCTGCTTAGGGCCCCCAATGGGCTAGCACCTCCTCTTCATACTGGCACCACTGGAAATATCCCCCAGTTCCCTTCCCCTGCGTGGCCACCAGCACCAGGTATATGGAATACAGCTCAAAAGTCCCCAGTACTCTAGATGCCCCAACCGGGGAGGTAGGAACAACAAGGTTTCTTCATTCTGCCACCTTTACTTCAACCAAATGCATGGGGGATCCATTCAAGCACATCAGGTTCCAGTCGGTGACCATCTCCATCACCAAGTGGCTTCTAGAACTGAGACGATGATGGGAGGGACTCCTTCACAGTCTGCAGAGTGGACATTTCTCTGGATCTCAGAACATGAATTTCCCTCAGAACCTAGATTCCTCCAGCTGCAGTTCTCAACTTTATTGATCTTTACATGTATATAACTTACTCTGCTTCACTGTGCCTCTTGCTCTCATTATCCTGACCTCCTTTCTCTTCTACCCACTCCATCCCTCCTTTCTCTCCCCTCTCATTTTTCCATTGGACCCAAACCTTGTAATCCTTCCCCTTTCCCCACACATCAATGACCTGATATAGGCTGAGGTTTGAAGAAGAGTTAAATAATAGAAATAGTTAAAGACTATTCGATCTAAATATTAGAACATGCATGTGAGCCAGAGTTATCCACAATGTTACACAAAGTGAAGTGGCAGTCAAATGTAACAATATTAGCCTAGCCAACTGTGTGTGTGTGCGTGTGTGTGGATATATAAAATAAAATCTTATTACTTATTACTGTCACCATCCTCCTTCCTTCCTCTTGTCACCATTACTACCCTCCTCTTTCCTTCCTTTTGTGTGTTATACCCCTTATTGCACCTGGGCTTAAAAAAGATTGTATCTTCCTATGTATTTATACATCCCTTAGCACTGACTAGGACCTGTGCCTCAGATAATAAATAAGAATACAGTAATGTTATGATCCTATTTAAATAGGCTTTTCTCAAGCCCTCAAATATCAAGCAAAACCAAGCAAGGACTTTTCTGAGCTCTATACTATGTAGATGCTCTTTATAAAAATAAAATTAAATAATATCCATGTCAAGCAGAGCTACTCTCTGCATATGCTTCACTTGTATTCTCACCTGAACTATTTAAAAAATGCACTTTTTAAATGGTGGACATTCCAAAATGGTTTTTTTGTACAAGTTTAAGTGAAGGCATTAATTAGGATTTGGCCCACATGGGAGTTGTGTGTGGCCCCCAAGGACAGATAGACAAATGCAAAGGCTTTTCTCTGATACTAAGTGTGAACTCTTGGCTTATTTGGACTCTTGATATAACAAGCACTGAACTAGCTAATTAGCCTGGCGCAGTTTCAGACAGTTGGATTATAGGCAGTGATAAAGCGCAGCAGAAGGCACCTCTTGGCATGCTTCCCTATAACTCATCCATTTCAGTGAGGAATTCCAATGGAAGACATGTTTTAGCACGTTTTGAAACTGTAGGGCTGCTTCAGGATAAAGAGCAGTTATTTCACTTATCACAGCAACATTCCGCTATGTGCCCATGCAGTAAGCACAGATTAATACATCTAATATAAATAAGTCACAGCAATGATGCAAGCTACTGTAAGTTATTCTTGGCTGAGTAGTGGGTATTTTTGTTTTTATTGGAAAGTTTCACACCCCATAAAGTTGAAGCAGTGCACACAGAGACGGATGTGCTGAAGAGATCACTCCGAGTATTCTCTCACTACTGTTTTTAAAGCCTGTGTGATTAAATTACCCCCTTGTCCTTCCCTCTACTGACCTTGTTACCAAGATGCCTTACAGCAGCTATATTTGGTTTAGGTAAAGCACTTGCGGTTCGTATGGGTATGTTTAAAATTACTTGGGAATATAGATTACAAACTAACAGTCTGCACTATTAAACTGGCGCAGGTAGCTGAACAGAACGCAGACAAGGCTTTGCGGTAAGGAGGATTACAATACTTCTGTAATATCCACACTACCAGCAAGTGTCACTACAGTATAAGTTTCAATAATGAACAGTCAGAAAATGGTGTGGTTATTATAGGACAGAATTAAAAGTAGCGTCTTTAATCTTTGCTTTCATGACTTCATTTGCTTTCAGTGAAGTAGCATAATTTTATGGTCACATCCAGTGACAAAAATTGGTGATGCAATTGTAATTAACAATGGTTTGAGTACAGATACAGCAACCTCGAGTTAAGAAGCAGTTATAGTGAACAATAATCTCACTGTATTTCTGCATGTTTTTCAACTAATCTTTTTAATCACTTAACACTGATATCGAGTGAATGTGTTTGCAAATACCACACCAGCACAATTTGGGAATATTCTATTCAGTTATGTTATTTGACAGAGTATACTTTAGCATTGTTCTGGAGCATATATTCATTCTCTCTAATAACACCTGAACAGATTTCCCCCCCCCCTCCCCCTTTTCAAAA